AGCAACAACAAAACTAAAGTAAAATGCGAAAAGGCTTTAAACCTATTAGTTACTAGTTCATTAGTTTTCATTTATAGCTATATGATAAAAAAGAAACAAATTGTTCAGTTTTCATAGTTTATCTTTTTTGCATTTGTCTAAATATAACTGCTTTGTCAGTGTCCTTAGGGAACATTTAAAAAGACTTGAAAGCTAAAATTTGATTGGCAATCGATATATCGATGTATCGCCGATAATTCATTACCGCTATATCCGTATATCGATACAAAAATCCCTATCGATGACACATCCAGTTAAAGATTGAACTGATGACACAAAATACAAACACCATCATTGTAAATAAAGGTTATGAAAAGAAAATGAAACAATAGTACTTTAATATCAATATCATCTTTTGGAAGTAATGTTACGTCATAAACCAAAAGTGGCCTTTCTGTCCGATTTGTTTGAATTTGTTTAAAATAATTAATTTCACACTAGTTTTTGTGTTTTTGCGTTAAAACATATACTTTATGGCATCCGTTCAAGTGTTTGAATAAGCCTTGAGTCTTTTTCTGATTTGATACGTACTCGTACATGTATATCAACTATTTGAACATGGTCATTTACTTCTTTTAGATAAAAACAGGTCTTAGACCAGATATCAGTCGATTAACATAAACGTTAGCGTATAGGAGAAATTTTATATCGACATTGAACTTGCCTGTCTAGTTTTTGCTCAGCTTATTTCATACCGTTATCTTAAAGGGACCCCACTGAGTTGTTTTTGTGTTTTAGCGTTAAAACATTTACTTTAAAGAATCCGTTTAATTGTCTGAATAGCCTTTTAGTCTTTTTTTATCTGATTTGATACGGACTCAGGCAATAATATCAATGATAAGAAGATGGTTATCTACTTCTAATAAAAAAATAAATAAATAAATAAAGTGTCAAATGTCAGTCGATTAACATATACGTTGGCGTATAGGAGAAATTATACATCGATATTTACTCTGCCTGTCTAATATTCGCTTAACTTATTTCTTACCTTTATCTTAAACCTAGAATTCTGGAACGAGCTATCGTCAATGATAGCGCATTTGAAGCTTTTGAGATGCATCTATAGAAAATATGTTATATTACTTACTTTCTTTACTCGTCCATATTCTGTACAGTCAGATTTGACCTGAAAACACAGAGGAAAATATTCTTGAAATCTTGTTAAAAGTGAAGACCTAGTACGATGTGGTCACAGAAATCACAAATCATGTTTCATATCTGAAATATATTTTGTTTGTTTCAGTTATGCTGTTACATGTTGAAAAAATATGTAAAAAAAGTACTTGTCAATGGAACTTTAGTTGAAATAAATATGGAATTACGCCACTTCTGTATCCACAAATAAAAGAAGGTTTTAAGATTGAACTGATGACACAAAATATTAACACCATCATTGTAAATAAAGATTATGAAAGAAAATGAAACAATAGTACTTTAATATCAATATCATCTACAGGAAGTAATGTTAATGGCATTTCTTTCCGATTAAAGATTTTAATTTCAATGTAAAACAATGTATATTAAAAAACAAGTTGGTCTGATATACACAAGTTTGATTTGATAATGTCGTTTCAATTTCTACCAATAATTTACGATTTATTTTATTGGATAATTTTATTATGAAGTGTTGATATAAAACATATAGTCATTCAGGATTTCGTAATTGTATTATATCTCGACTAACTGGAGTGTCGTCGTCCAGATTGCCAATCATATTAATTGCATCATATATAATGAGATTCATAAGTATCCATATTTTGAGAATATTCTTTCCTTTGAAAATAGAATTTTAAATATCTTGTTGTGGTTTTTTTTATTTACTTTACTTGCCTATTTCTATAAAAGAGATTTCCATACAAAAACAATAAATAAATGTTCCTACACATCACCATCATCCACATCATGTACTCATTTCAGCAGTTTTAAGAACTTTCTCCCTTTTAAAGTAAGGCGTTCACATAGAATTTGTTTAAAATAATTAATTTCACACTAGTTTTTGTGTTTTTGCGTTAAAACATATACTTTATGGCATCCGTTCAAGTGTTTGAATAAGCCTTGAGTCTTTTTCTGATTTGATACGTACTCGTACATGTATATCAACTATTTGAACATGGTCATTTACTTCTTTTAGATAAAAACAGGTCTTAGACCAGATATCAGTCGATTAACATAAACGTTAGCGTATAGGAGAAATTTTACATCGACATTGAACTTGCTTGTCTAATTTTTGCTCAGCTTATTTCATACCGTTATCTTAAAGGGACTCCACTGAGTTGTGTTTGTGTTTTTAGCGTTAAAACATTTACTTTATAGAATCCGTTTAATTGTCTGAATAGCCTTTTAGCCTTTTTTTTTTATCTGATTTGATACGTACTCGAGCATGAATATCAATGATAAGAAGTTGGTTATCTACTTCTAATAAATAAAAAATAAATAAATAAATTGTCAAATGAAAGTCGATTAACATATACGTTGGCGTATAGGAGAAATTATACATCGGTATTTACTGTGCCTGTCTTATATTTGCTTAACTTATAACATAGAATTCTGGAACGAGCTATCGTCAATGTTTCATTATTTGCTAGCTCATTTGAAGCTTTTGAGATGCATCTATAGAAAATATGTTATATTACTTACATTGTTATCTCCTTCATGTTCGGTACAGTCAGATTTGACCTGAAAACACAGAGGACAAATTCTTAAATTTTTTTAAAAGTGAAAAAATAGATTTTACAAAAATCACAAATCATTTTTCATTTAAAAATTTTTGTTTGTTTCGGGTTATCCTTTACATTTGGAAAAAAATATGTAAAAAAATATTTTCAAGGGAATTTTAGTTAATAAATAGGGAATTACCCCATTCTGTACCCACAAATAAAAAGGTTTTAAATTAATTTTTGATGACACAAAAACAAACACCATAATTGTAAATAAAGGTTATGAAAAGAAAATGAAACAATAGTACTTCAATATCAATATCATCTTTTGGAAGTAATGTTACGTCATAAAAAATGGCATTTCTGTCCGATTAAAGATTTTAATTTCCATGTAAAACAAGGTACATGTATATTAAAAAACAAGTTGGTCTGATATACACAAGTTTGATTTGAAAATGTCGTTTCAATTTCTACCAATAATTTACGATTTATTTTACTGGATAATTTTATTATGAAGTGTTGATATAAAACATATATTCATTCAGGATTTCGTAATTGTATTATATCTCGACTATACGAAGTTTACTCACTGGAGTGTCGTCGTCGTCTATATTGCCAATCATATTAATTGCATCATATATAATGAGATTCATAAGTATCCATATTTTGAGAATGTTCTTTCCTTCGAAAATAGAATTTTAAATATCTTGTTTTTTTATTTACTTTACTTGCCTATTTCTATAAAAGAGATTTCCATAAAAATCAATAAATACATGTTCCTACACATCATAATCACCAACATCATGAACCTATTTTCGCAGTTTTAAGAATTTTCACCCTTTTACAGTAAGGCGTTTACTTAAAAAAAAATTTAAAATTATTAATTTCACACTAATTTTTGTGTTTTTGCGTTAAAACATATACTTTATGGCATCCGTTCAAGTGTTTGAATAAGCTTTGAGTCTTTTTCTGATTTGATACGTACTCGTACATGTATATCAACGATTTAAAGTTGTCATCTTTTTCTTTTAAATAAAAAACAGGTCACAGACCAGATATCAGTCGATTAACATAAACGTTAGCGTATAGGAGAAATTTTATATCGACATTGAATTTGCCTGTCTAATTTTTGCTTGGTCACAGAAATCACAGATCATGTTTCATATCTGAAATATTTTTTTCGTTTCAGGTATGCTTTTACATTTGAAAAAATATGTAAAAATGTACTTATCAATTGAAATTTAGTTGAACTTGATATGGTATTAACCCACATAGGTATCCACCAATGAAAGCTAAGAAGAGGCTAAAGATGGAACTATTAAACATAATACAAACACAATCTTGTAAATAAAGGCAATACAAAATAAAATAAAATAAAAGTACTTCAATATCAATATTATCAACTGGAAGTAATGTTATGTCATAAATCAAAAATACCTTTCTGTCCGATTTAAGATTTAAATTTCTATATAATACAATGTATATATTTTAAAACAAGTTTTGTCTGATAAACACAAGTTTAATTTGATAACTGTGATATATTTCAACCAATAATTTATGATTTATTTTACTGGGTCATTTTATTTTATGAACTGTTGATATCAAAATCGATTTTCATTCAGGATTTCGTAACTGTATAATATTTCGACTATACGAATTAACTCACTTGGGAGTCGTCGTCCAGATTGCCGATTACATAATTTTTTTACTTTTAAACAAATTGACATCAAACTTAAAAAAAACCTTACATGAGATTCATAAGTATCTATATTTTGAGAATTATCTTTCCTTTAAAATATAACTTTAAATATCGTGTTGATTTTTATTTACTTTACTTCTCTATGTCTATAGAAAAAAACAACAACAAATAAATGTTGTTAAACATCATTATCATCATCAACAACATCATGTACTCATTTAAGCAATTTTAAGAACTTTACAGTTAGAAGTTTACTAAAAATTTGTTTAATATATTTTTTTGTGTTTTTAGCGTTAAAACATTAACTTTTTAATATTATCCGTTCATGTATTTGAATAAGCCTTTAGCCTTTTTATCAGATTCGATACGTACTCATGCATAAATATCAATGATTAGAAGATGGTTATCTACTTCTAATAAATAAAAAAATAAAAAAAGTCAAATGTCAGTCAATTAACATAAACATTGGCGAATACGAGAAATTTTACAACGATATTTACTGTGCCTGTCTTATGTTTGCTTAGATTAATTCTAACCTTTATCTTAAAACTAGAATTCTGGAACGAGCTATCGTCAATTGTCTCATAATTTGATATCTCAATTGAAGCTTTTGAGACGCATCTTAAGAAATTTATGATATACATGTATTAATTACTTTGAAATAACTCTTACGATCTTTAGATCTTATGTCACAATGTTTGTTCTGAAAGAAAGAAAGAAAAAAAAAAACAGATGAAAATAATCTTGAAGTCTTGTTTTCAGTAAAGATACTACGATGTGGTCACAGAAATCACAGATCATGTTTCATATCTGAAATATTTTTTTTTCGTTTCTTTTATGTTGTTACATGTTGAAAAAATATGTAAAAATGTACTTGTCAATGGAACTTTAGTTGAAATAAATATGAAATTACGCCACTTCTGTATCCACCTTGATCTTAAAACCACAATTCTCGAAAGAGCTATCGTCAATTATCTTATTATTTACTAACTCAATTGAAAATATTGAAATGCATCTTTAGAAATATGTTATATAACTTACATTCGGTGCACACTGTTCAAGGAACTGAAAAGACAGATTAAATTAATCTTGAAGTCTTGTTAAAAGTAAAGTCCTAATACGATGTGGTCACACATATCACAGAACTTGTTTTATATCTGAAAAGTTTTTATTTACGTTTCATATATGTTGTAACCTGTTGAAAAGCATTTGTCAATTGATTTTAGTTGAAATAAAGATAATTAAGCCAATTCTGTATGTCTCAATCAAAGCTAAGAAGAGATTAAAGATGGAGCTGTTTAAACATAATACAAACAATATCAATGAAAGTAAGGCAGTAAAATGAAAATGAAATAAAAGTTCTTCGATATCATTATTCTAATATCATCACCTGCATCATATATAATGTGTTTCATCAGTAACAATATTTTGAGAATCATCTTCCATTTAGATATAGAACTTTCAAAACTCAGTGTTTTTGTTTGGTGCCTTTTGGGTGCCCTACTTAGGTGTGTCGAGGGCTGCATCCTGTCAACGTTACCTTTAAGTTGTTGATCTTTATTTTTGTTTTTTGTTATAAGTCTTGTTTTTATTTGTCAATATACTTCTTTATTTGTATAGTAGAAATTTCCATAAAAAGACAAATATATGTTCCTAAACATCATCATCATCATTATCATCATCATCATCATCATCATCATTATCATCATCATCATCATCATCATCATCATCCATATTACTCGTTTCAACAGTTTTAAGAACTTTCCGCGTTTTATATGTAATCCACTCAGAGAATACCGTATTTAAAATTATTTATTTATTAGAAAATCTTATTGGCTATCGTTGAATATTTACTTTTCAAAATTTCTGAATGATCTTTCAGTCTTTTTTTTCCTAATTTGATAGTAAGATCCAATCTACTTTTTTTAAATAACAAAACAATCAAAAGGTGCCAGTCGATTAACATAAACGTTGGCGTTTATGAGAACTTTTACATTGATATTTGACTTGCCAATCTCATTTATGAAATTGATCTTAGAGATCTTAGAACTAAGATCCGTATCAAGCTATCGTCAATTGTCTCAATAGTTGTTATCTTAATTGAAGCTTTAGAAAAAAATATTTGATATTACTTTCATATTGGTATTCATTCTCCCAATGAAACACAGATGAAATAAATCTTAAAATCTCTAGTACGTTGTGGTCACACAAATAACAAATCATGTTTGATATCTGAATTGTTTGGTGTTATTTTTTTCGTTTTCTACCCAATATGGACAATCATCCAAGAAGTTTGAATACTGTGGGTCAAATGGAACTTAAGTTATGCTCCGGAAACCAAATTGCTAGCGAACGGACAGACGGACGCCAGCCAGGGGGTATAACATAATATACCCGAACTTTTTTCGGACATATAAAAAGATGTAAAAATGAACTTTTCAATTGATTTTAGTTGAAATAATTACAAATTAAGTCACTTCTGTATCCACCAATCAAAGCTCAGAAAAAAGTTAAATATTGAACTCTTTGCACAAGATACAAACACTATCATCGTGAATAAACGCAATAAAAAAATGAAATAATAGTCCTTCAATATCAATAACATATACTGTAAATAATATTATGTCATTACACAACTTACTTTTTGCGAATTTCCATATAATACACTGTATATTTTAAAATAAGCTCAGATTTAAAAAAAAGTCGGTTACCAACAAGAAGGGACGGAAACGAAAACGAGAAGACACGATGACGAAAACGTGAAAATAATCTATTTGAATTTGTCGAGTTTTTGTGTTTTAGAAATCTTATCTTTGCGTTTTCGTCATCGTCCCTTCGTGTTTTCGTATTTTCGCGTTTCAAATTCCTATATTTATAGGTGATGACTCTAACGGAACACCGTATTGCATCGCCTTAACTGATTCTTTTACCGCTGATCCTACCGTGAAATTAAAGCATTTAAGTGGCGATCGTTAGGTAAGGCGCATTTCTTGTACTGTATCTTTTATCACAAGAATGAATTATTTTCGTAAAAGACGATTCTTCCCGAATGTCTACACAATTCGTACACTCAAGGAAAAAGTCAATATCAACATATAACTAAATAATATATTTAAACGAACAATTACAATTTTTATGCCAACTCTGCGCAATTAGTTATGTAAGTATCATGCATGATTGTAGAAATACAGACCAGTTTTCAAAAACGGAGCAACAACTTCGAACATGCTCAAGAGATTGAACGTCAAGTTCGAGATCGAATGTTGCCGAGTCGGACTATATGTCAAAAGACACGACCCACATAATAAGTCAGATATGCAATGTAAGGATATCATTCAATATATAATGATGCGCAAATGAAACTTATTAAGTCACTATTAACGCCACATGACGTAAGCAAAAGCCATTAAATGAATGTGTCAGAATTCAGCCATTACATGTTGAATTCTGACACATGGATAACAATAAGTTCAATCGACAGGCAAGTGAGCAGGATGCTCTTTGCAACATCCGCTTTATTCAGTTTTTCGAGTTTTGACCTCATAACAATGAAGGTGTAAAAAATTCGGTAAGAATTAGGCTAAATCAGAATATAAATCGTTAAGTATACGTTTCAAAATTGTCCCCAAATGGAACAGATTGTTGGCACAGAGTTTCTTCATGTGTCTGAATAACCTTTTAGTCTTTTTTATCTGATTGATACGTACTCGTGCATGAACATCAACGATTGATGATAGTCATCTATGTTTTTGAAGTATAATAAAATAAAAGTCTGATGTCAGTAATTTAACAAAACGTTGGCGTATAGCACGGGGGAGGAAGTGTTACACGAGGGATGGAGTTCTAATGATAACTTGTCAAGGAGTTCTTGTGATAACTGTCACAGAGTTCGTCGGAAAACTATTGTATATACTTCAAAACACTTGTCGAAAGTGGTAATTTTCATCGTTAAAAAGTGAGTTATAGGTGCTGAATTAAACTTTGATGATTAAGCTTGCCTTACATATTGTATTTTGTGTCAAAGACTAATTCATAGTCCATTTTTCATCGCCTCTTGCTTAAAATCTGGCAGTTTTGAGTAAAATTTTAAAATTATTTGCCATTGCATACATTTGAAAAATCGGGTATAAATGTGCTAGTCGGGGCTTTATGTGTGCATTTTTGCATTATAATTAGGTACTTATGTATGGCAAGGATGAAGACTTGAAATAAACTGGCAAATAGTTGCGAAATGGCAAATAATTTTAAAATTTTACTCAAAACTGCCAGATTTTAAGCAAGAGGCGATGAAAAATGGACTATGAATTAGTTGTTGACACATAATGCAATATGTAAGGCAAGCTCAATCATTAAAGATGAATTTAGCACCTAAAACTCACTTTTTAAAGATGAAAATTACCATTTTCGACAAGTGTTTTGCAGTATATACAATAGTTTTCTGACGAACTCCGTGACAGTTATCACAAGAACTCCTTGACAAGTTATCATTAGAACTCCATCCCTCGTGTAACACTTCCTCCCCCGTGTATAGGAGAAATTAAGCATCTATCTTTACCTTGCATGTCTAATATTTGCTTATCTTATTTATTACCTTTATCTTAAACCTAGAACGAGCTATCGTCAATTGTCTCTCTATTGAAGCTTTTGAGATGCATCATTAGAAAATATGTTACATTTATATTACGTACGTCGGTTTCTGTCATGAATTATTTATAGCTAAAAGTGTCCTGAAAACACAGAGGATATTCTGTAACTTTTTCAGCGCGTCGCATTTTTTATTGTATACGTCACATGTATAATGATTACGTCATATGTCTAAATATAGAACGTCAACAGTGACTTTGTTTATGAAAAAATATATCCAAAACAGTGATTTTATCGCTCAATAACATCACTGTTCATAGTTCGGATGCGAGAAATTATATCACGAGGGCGTAGCCAAAGTCATATCCGAACGACAAACAGTGATGTTATCAAATCACTGTTTGGGATGTATTATTTCTTAAACATCATCAACATCATGTACTCGTTTAAGCAGTTTTAAGAATTTTACAGTTAGAAGTTTACTAAGAATTTGTTTAAAATATTTTTGTGTTTTTAGCGTTAAAACATATACTTTTTAAAACTATCCGTTCATGTATTTGAATAAGCCGTTAGTCTTTTTATCTGATTTGTTATGTACTCTTGCATGAATATCAACTATTTGATTATTGTCATCTACTTCTATTAAATAAAAAGTAATATGTCAGTCGATTAACATAAACGTTGGCGTATAAGAGAACATTTACATCGATATTTACCTTGTCTGTCTAATATATGCTAAGCTTATCTTAAACCTAGAATTCTGAAACATGCTATTGTCAACTGTCTCATAATTTGCTACCTGAATTAAAACATTTGAGATGCATCTTTAGAATATATATTATATTACTTACATGGAATTCTGGCTGTTTCATGTCCTGAAAACACAGAGGAAAATATTCTTGAAATCTTGTTAAAAATGAAGACATAGTACGATGTGGTCACAGAAATCACAGATCATGTTACATATCTAAAATATATTTTGTTTGTTTCAGTTATGCTGTTACATGTTGGAAAAATATGTAACAAAACGTTTCAATGTTTGTATTTTTAGTTGACATAAAAAAAGAAAATGAAACAATAGTACTTCAATATCAATAACATCTACTTGAAATAATGTTATGCAATTACACAACTTTCTTCTCTTTCCGAATAAATTTTAATTTCAATACTGTATTCTTTATATTTGAAAATTAGTTGTTAATATGGTGTAAACAAGTCTGATTTGATAAAGTCGTATCGATTTGATAACTGGAATTATTTTACTGAATAACTTAATTATGAAGTGCTGATGTCAAAATTTATTTCCCCCCAGGATTTATCTATTCCGGACAATCATACTGAAGTACAGATTCGTAACTATGTGTAACGTTTTAAGTTTGAGATTTTCATCATTGTACGAGAATATTTGAGTCAGGGAAAGGTTGTCGAGTTTCCTCACGCTCCCTTTTCGCCAGATCTGGCCTTTTATGACTTTTCCCTATTTTCGAGGCTCAAAATACACATATATCAACGGTATGAAGATGGTCACTGCTTCTATTAAATCAAAAACAGGTCGAAAGTCAGATGTCAATCGATTTACATATGCGTTGTCGTATAGGAGAAAGTTTACATCCATATTACCTTGTCTGTCTAATATGTGTTAAGCTTATCTTAAACCTAGAATTCTGGAACATGCTATTGTCAGCTGTCTCATAATTTGCTACATGAATTGAAACATTTGAGATGCATCTTTAGAATATATGTTATATTACTTACTTCGGATTCTCCCGTGTATCTTATATCGAAATTTTCCTGAAAACACAGAGGAAAATATTCTTGAAATCTTGTTACAAATGAAGACCTAGTACGATGTGGTCATATAAATCACAGATTATGTTACATATCTGAAATATATTTTTGTTCGTTTCAGTTATGCAGTTACATGTTGGAAAAATATGTAAAAATAACTTTTCAATGTATTTTTAGTTGACATAAAAAACGAGAAAATGAAACAATTGTACTTCAATATCAATAATATCTACTGGAAAAATGTTATGCAATTACACAACTTTCTTCTCTTTCCGAATAAATTTTAATTTCAATACTGTATTCTTTATATTTGAAAATTAGTTGTTAATATGGTGTAAACAAGTCTGACTTGATAAAGTCGTATCGATTTGATAACTGGAATTATTTTACTGAATAACTTAATTATGAAGTGCTGATGTCAAAATTTATTTCCCCCCAGGATTTATCTATTCCGGACAATCATACTGAAGTACAGATTCGTAACTATGTGTAACGTTTTAAGTTTGAGATTTTCACCATTGTACGAGAATATTTGAGTCAGGGAAAGGTTGTCTATTTTCCTCATGCTCCCTTTTCGCCAGATCTGGCCTTTTATGACTTTTCCCTATTTTCGAGGCTCAAAATACACCTTGCTGGAAGAAAATATGAAACGCGAAAAAATCTCGATTCAGCTATTTTCCTGTGTCGGACGGAAAAAAACCTTTAACAAATTATGAAAAAGCATTTAAAAATTGGATTAAAAGACTAAGACTTTTTATCACATGGTGGTGAGTATTTTGAAGGATAAAATAATTATTTTGGCAAAGTTTGTTAAGCTCTTCTGAAAATTGACCCAGTTGCATTCATATTTAAACACCCTTCGTGTGTCACTTCGTTAAGGCGGGGCTACTACATTCAGTTTAAATATGCGCACTTCGTTTTTAAATTTTTTACTATCAAAAGTTCGACTTAAGGAATAAATGACAGAATTGAGCAATTTAAATAATTGTTTATTTGTGTATTTGTTTTTAATCTATACGATTAACCCCCAAAACATCTGATAAGACTATTGGATGCAAAAAAGCCCTCTTTCTACATTGTTTATCAGTGATAGACGTCCATCAAAAGCTGACTGAATGTACTGCCATACTTCTAGGTTGACAATAACTACAGAACTGGTTAAATTGTAAGTTCACCGAACGTACAAGATTGTGGTTAAATTAAGCATCAAACTTTAATCAAAATCGATTAAAGTAAATATGTTTAAAATACCATATTCTCGTTTATGATATGTAATAAATATTATTTATTCATTTGTATCAGAGGAATTAATGATTTCGAGTAATCTCAATTGTTTAGTCATTAAAGTGTTATTATAATTTCTTTAGTCATGATTCACCGATAAAGTTTTCGTCATCGTCCCTTCGGGTTATCGTATTTTGTCGTTTCAATCCCTTCATGTTTTCGCATTCGTTCCTTCGTGTTACCATCATCGTCTATTCGTGCTTTCGACTTTTCGCGTTCACGTTTATAATTCCTTTATTTATAGGTGATGATCCTAACACCGTATTGCATCGCCTTACCTCGCGATTTTTTACCGCCGATCCTATCGTGAAACTGGCGTTGTTTAGGTAAGACGCATTTCTTGCATTGTATTTTCCATCATAAGAATGAATTATTTTCGTAAAATACTTTTCTTTCCGAATGTCTACACCATTCGTCCACTCACGGAAAACTCAATATCAACATATAACTAAATAATAGACTTAAACGAACAATAACAATGTTTATGCCAATTTTGAGCACTTGGCTATGTAAGTGTCCTGATTGTAGAAATACTGTCCAGTTTTCAAACAGGGAGCAAGAACTTTGAACATGCTCAAAAGATTTATCGTCACGTTTGTGTCGCCGGGGACAATAGGTTAAAGGTCACGACCCACATAACAATTCAGATATACAATGTAAAGATATCATTCAATATATAATTTTCTGCAACTGAAACATATTAAGTCACCAACGTAAGCGAAAGCCATTGAATGAATGTGCACTTACATGCGGAATTCTGAAACATTTACTTATTTTCTAAAAAAGAATTAGTGCCATTACCAGCCAAATGTGCAGGATGCTCGTTGCAACATCCGCTTCGCTACAAATTACATAACATAATGAAAATGACATTTATTCTCGGTTTCAGATATCTTGTAAAATTTGTGAAACATTCTAGTGATTTTTCCTTTAATGTGATTGACTGCAAGATTTTATGCTGGTATCAGTTTTCTATTTCCAATACCTTATTTGTGAAGATGTTATGTAACTGTATCATATTTCGGCTCACTGAGGCTTCATCGTCCAAATTTCTGATATCCTAGCACTATTTTTTTTAATTCTAAACAAATTTTCTTCAAATTTTAAATTTCATTATCCGCATCATATAATGTATTAGGAGATTCATAAATATCCATATTCTGAGAATTATCTTCCCTGTGAAAGTAGAACTTTAGAACTTAAAATATCTTTGTTTTTGTAGTTTACTTCTCTATTTCTGTAGCAGAGATTGTCATAAAAGTGTCCTCCATCATCATCATTATCATCATCATCATCATCAACAACAACAGCAACATCATCATCATTATCATTATCATCATCATCATGTACACGGTTCAGCCGTTTTAAGACCTTTCTCCCCTGAACGTAAGAAGTTTACTTAGAAAATACTTAAACATTATTAATTTAACACTATTTTTTATGTTTTTAGTATTAAAACTCCTACATTTTGGCATATGTTCAATTGTCTGACTAACTCTTAAGTCTTTTCTTCCGATTGGGTACGTACTCATATATCAACAATAAGAAGATGGTCACTGCTTCGATTAAATCAAAACAGGTCGAAAATCAGATGTCAGTCGATTTACATAAGCGTTGGCGTATAGGAAAACATTTACATCAAATTCATCTTGCCTGTCTAATTTTGATTTACCTGATTTCTTAACTTGATCTTAAAACTATTATTCTAGAAAGAGCTATCATCAATTATCTCATTCATTTTTTGCTGCCTCAATTGAAGCTTTTGAGATGCATCTTTAGAAATATGTTATATTATTTACACTATCTACGCCTGCATCATAGCTCTGAAAACACAGATAAAATTAATCTTGAAGTCTTGTTAAAAGTAAAGGCCTAATTCGATGTGGTCACAGAAATCACATAGTTTGTTTCACATCTGAAAAGTTTTATTTACGTTTCATGTATGTTGTAACCTGTTGAAAAAAGCATTTGTCAATGGATTTTAGTTGAAATAAACATAATTAAGCCACTTCTGTATGCATCAATCAAAGCTAAGAAGAGATTAAAGATGGAGCTGTTTAAACATAATACAAACAATATCAATGAAAGTAAGGCAGTAAAATGAAAATGAAATAATAGTTCTTCGATATCATTATTCTAATATCATCACATGCATCATATATAATGTGTTTCATCAGTAACAATATTTTGAGAATCATCTTCCATTTAGATATAGAACTTTCAAAACTCAGGGGTTTTTTGGGTGCCTTTTGGGTGCCCTACTTGGGTATGTCGGGGGTTGCATGCTGTGAACGTTGCCTTTAAGTTGTAGATCTTTATTTATTTTTGTAAGTCTTGTTTTTAGTTGTCAATATACATATTAATTTCTATATTAGAAATTTCCATAAAAGGCAAATATATGTACCTAAACATCACACCAGTGTTTTTGTTTGGTGCCTTTTGGGTGCCCTACTTAGGTGTGTCGAGGGCTGCATCCTGTGAACGTTACCTTTAAGTTGTTGATCTTTATTTTTGTTTTTTTGTGATAAGTTTTGTTTTTATTTGTCAATATACTTCTTTATTTGTATAGTAGAAATTTCCATAAAAAGACAAATCTTTGTTCCTAAACATCATCATCATCATCATCATCCATATTACTCGTTTCAACAGTTTTAAGAACTTTCCGCGTTTTATATGTAATCCACTCAGAGAATACCGTATTTAAAATTATTTATTTATTAGAAAATCTTATTGGCTATCGTTGAAAATTTACTTTTCAAAATTTCTGAATGATCTTTCAGTCTTTTTTTTCTAATTTGATAGTAAGATCCAATCTACTTTTTTAAATAACAAAACAATCAAAAGGTGCCAGTCGATTAACATAAACGTTGGCGTTTACGAGAACTTTTACATTGATATTTGACTTGCTAATCTCATTTATGAAATTGATCTTAGAGATCTTAGAACTAAGATCCGTATCAAGCTATCGTCAATTGTCTCAATAGTTGTTATCTTAATTGAAGCTTTAGAAAAAAATACTTACATATTGGTATTGATTCTCCCTCTGAAACACAGATGAAATAAATCTTAAAATCTCTAGTACGTTGTGGTCACACAAATAACAAATCATGTTTGATATCTGAATTGTTTGGTGTTATTTTTTTTCGTTTCATTTATGTTGTTACATGTTGAAACAAGAGCACCGCTAAGCGGAGCATTATATGCCCGAAAGTGTTTTTTTATTAGTAAGGATGAAACATTTGTAAGACATGGGAAATACAGTATTATCTCCTTCAAAAAGCTATCCTCCTTTATAGCTGAAGAACCTTCATACATATACAGTTGCTGTTTTCAAAGAACCACCATCAAGATGTAGTTATGATCCAGAAACCACAATTTTCAGTGTAAAGATCATTGTGACCCCGACCTTTAACCTTATGACCCTAAAATCAAAAGGGGTCATGTATTGGACATGGCTGTTCATCCTATAAAATTTTACAGCTGTAGGCTGATTAATAATTAAGTAACTGAGCGGAAACTGTTTTCAGTTTTAAGGTAACAGTGACCTTGACCTTTGATCTTGTGACCCCAAAATCAATAGGGGTCTTCTACCCAATATGGACAATCATCCAAGAAGTTTGAATACTGTGGGTCAAATGGAACTTAAGTTATGCTCCGGAAACCAAATTGCTAGCGAACGGACAGACGGACGCCAGCCAGGGGGTATAACATAATATACCCGAACTTTTTTCGGATATATAAAAAGATGTAAAAATGAACTTTTCAAATTGATTTTAGTTGAAATAATTACAAATTAAGTCACTTCTGTATCCACCAATCAAAGCTCAGAAAAAAGTTAAATATTGAACTCTTTGCACAAGATACAAACACTATCATCGTGAATCAACGCAATAAAAATGAAATAATAGTCCTTCAATATCAATAACATATACTGGAAATAATATTATGTCATTACACAACTTACTTTTTGCGAATTTCCATATAATAAACTGTATATTTTAAAATAACCCGAATCATATAATTTATTAGGAGATTCATATTCTGAGAATTATCTTCCCTTTGAAAATAGAACTTTAGAACTTAAAAAAATCTTGTTGTGTTTTTTTGTTTATTTCTCTATTTCTGTAGCAGGGAGTGTCATGAAAAAGTCCTCCATCATCATCATCATCAAAAGCAACATCATCATCATCATTATCATTATCATCATCATCATCATCATGTACACGGTTCAGCCGTTTTAAGACCTTTCTCCCCTGAACGTAAGAAGTTTTATTCAGTTTTGCGAGTGTTAACCTTATAACAATGAAGGTGTCAAACATTCGGAAGGATATATAATTGTTAAGGTTACGTTTCACGATTGTCCCAAAATGGAACAGGTTGTCACATGGTTTCTTCAGAAAAAAAAGAAAGACTTTATCCCAGCAGCAAAATTATTGAGTTATGAGTTATGCATCCGCTTAAAAAACAAATCTTAGAGTCTTTATGTACATTTCAATTTTCACCCTTTGTCGAAAAATTTAATCATTTTCTGTTAATAAAGTACTTATATGTACATATGTATATATATATATATATATATATATATATATATATATATATATATATATATATATATATATATATATATATATATATATATATATAATATATATATATATTTCTTTCATTTTAGACATCTACTTGTAGTAAATCTATATATAAAGTTATATATAAATATATACATGTAATTTTATGTGTGTATTATTTATACTTATTCTCTAGTCTAGTATATTTACTAACTATTAACTTACTTAAGACAAATCATATAGTTCACCAAAGGGGAAGATTTCTATAAAAATCTGGAAATAAAGTGATATAAGACTTGTCTTTCATTCTCATCCTTTTCCACAAAAATATTTTGTTTGTTATTTATTTGTATGTACATTATATATACTTTCGGGATTAAAAATGTTTAAACGAAAGTACTTATTTCCGTATACTTATCCTGAAGCAAGGAAAAATGGTGTGTCATTTTGAAAAAAAATCAACAAACAACACACACACACACACGCACACACACACACACACACACGCGCGCGCATAAACGCACGCATAAACGCACGCACAAACAAACAAACAAAAAACAACAACAACAAAAAAAACCCAAACAAACAAAAAATGCCAAAACATAAAATCGGAGTACTAAGCGCTTAAAGCGATTTCTAATATACAAAGCTTGTTATGAAAAAATGTCTAGTAAGAAGTTACATAAGGTATTATATATTTACGTGAAGAAAATTTCTCTTCTTTTTCAATCAAAAAAAAAATATTACCTGTTTTTCAGACGCTGCGACTTCAGTTATTTTTATTTTGTCTCCTGGGTATACGTCACTTGCAACACATTCTTCTCTCATTTTGTCATCTTCCAGAACCGCTATTTGAGCTAGTCCTTTCACATATCCTTCAATTGTTTCATCAATGACTGGTTTATATTTTTCCTTTTCGATTGAAAAATCAATTTTTGATAATTCTCTTGAAATGTCTTCGATTAATTCCTCGCCTCTTTGAAGACTTATATAAACGAGAGCTTCTTTGCCAACTGTAGATGATTTTATCTGTTGTTTAAGGTCTTTTAGTTTGCCTCCAAAACGAACCAGTTTTTCACTTACATTTTCAGAATAATTTGTGTTTTGATCGAACTTCTCACCCATCTCTCCAAATGCTTTCTCCTCAAGGGAATCAAACATTGCATTTATTCTACTGCGAAATGCCTGCAGTTTTTCAATATATTCCATCTTTGAGGTTTGATTCGTTTCGACCTTTCGTTTTACCTTATCAAAACTTGATTCAATAATTTGAATTTGTTCTTCGATCTGTTTCATCATTTTTCCTTTGTTGTCTTCTAAACATTTTTTCATTGCTTCTTCTTGTATATAGTCCATGTTAGTGCATGACCTAAATGATTTTAATACAGTATATCCAAGCAAATATGCAAATCGCTTAACTCTAAATGCATTTTGAGTAAGTTTAGCAATGGAGCTAGTGTCCCATAATACAAATCAAAAAGACAAAATAAGAAACAAGATTAAAGACATTACTTTAATTCTTGCAATGCCAATAGAATGCCTTATATCCGCTTAAATTTGAATGATTAAATAAATTAAAAAAGCAGTGAATATGAATTTACCTGTGTTTAAGTGATATGCAAACATGACAACATAACATCTTATGATCTCTGCAGAAGAATTCGAGGGTTTTACCATGTGTAGAACACTTGTATTGATCTCTTGACCAGACGTCAATATCATCATGTTTCAAGACAATATGTTTGGCAAGGTAAGGTACTCGCGGGTGCAGCTCAAAACATTCCTCGCAATAGTAAGCCTCACAATCGGTGCAGTAATATTCCGCTTTGGACTCCTTATCTTTAGTTTTACAGGGAGTACAATGCTTCGTGACTTCCATGTCTAAAGCTATAAGTAAAATAATGTAATGTTCTTTCTTTAAAGTTAATAGGGAAGCAAAAGTAACTGCTTAAAAGTCATTTTTGATAGATTCATGTCAGGTAATACTTTTGTTTCTATATTAAATCTCTTAGTTAAACCTTATGACTATTACATTTTAAATTGTCTTTAAATGGAAATTACATATTCAAATAAGTAATAAGGTAAGGACATCGCAATAATTTTAAGCAATTTTTTATTTTGAAAATTGGTGTAGAGGAACATGTAAGATAAACAAATGTTTCAGGTCTCTTCATTACAGTTGCTCTGATTATTACAAAACAACGTCAATGTTTGACACAACATGCTTGCGTTTTTTTTAAAAATAATTGCACCGTATTTGTTTTCATTTCAAATAACATAGCCTGTATATAACAAAATTTCTTGATTTTGGGATAATTGACTTTTTTAAATTAATATTTCTTATCTTCTGGTTAGTTAACTCTTCAAATATGTTTATTTTATTAGTTGACATGATAGAAATTGGATGATTTACATATATAAAATAACAAATGAAAAAAATCGTACCTCAGTATACGCCCATAAACTGAATTGACATGTATAGATAAACTAACCCGTTACAAAGTTTAAGTGTATCTAATAATATGATACTCGAGCAAGTTTATCAGTGGCGAGATATGAGGTAAGTAGTGGTGCAGTATGATAGATAATCAATGGATGTTGAAGTGTTTTCACTGAAAAGATCAATTTAAATACATGTACAATACACATACAACTCCAGGTAAAATAAATAGAGGATATTGAATGAGTACTAGTGTAGTTTAATACAAAATTTATTAAACGAGTTGAATAAAATCATATTATGCGAGCCTCTGGCGAGCATAATATTGTTTTATTCAACGAGTTTAATAAATTTAGTATTGAATGTACACGAATATAATATTCTATTTATCACATATATAAAATAAGAACAGTAAACTGTTGAAATGAGTAATTTTTCAATGACGCGCCTATAGTGTAACGCTAACATTAGCGCGCTTTAACGCTATGTTTCTATATAGCGCAAATGACGTGACGTGAAGTGTTATTACACTAGTGTAATATCGTTTTTATTAAATGGCTTTATTACACTCCTGCGCCGCGTATTATGTGATAATGTAAAATATCAGATACTTTAACGTGTTTGTTGTATGAATGATATGAAATTTTAAATTGATTATTTCAGTAAAACATGGTCTTATGATGCTGTGGACAACATGTATGTGGTAGTCATTTTAATAATTAAATTTTGTACAATTCTTTCAACACATGTCAATCTCATAAAAACAAAATAACAACAATTTATGTTGAAGGCAAAGCTGAAATGACAAAAAGAATAATGTTTGCATATATACAATTAATAGATATAGCACTAAATGAACATCTTATTTCCATAGACATTAATTCTTGTGCTTTTATGTCTTAACATATAAACATTTCATATACATATGTAATGTTCACATTATTACGACAGGTTAAAATTCAAACTCTCAATAATACAGATCTAAGAGATGTTAAACAAACTCCACAATACAACACTTAACATTACATTTACTTTGTACATCTGGCTTATGTCATTATTAACTGCAAACAAATTAAAACTTATAATGCATGCAGGTTATGAAAAATTAAACATTTAAAAAGAAAATAAATGACCGCCATTTTGGAAAATTCAAACTGCTTTAAATACTACATTGTAAATAAACCTAAATAAATAATCATTTCAGACATCACAAAATGGCCTCAAATAATTATCATGAATGACTGGATAATACAACCAAATGAATACCATAAACAAGTTACATATCAAAATATTATTGACTTTAACAAAGCTTCAAATTTTATTGAAACCTAATTATAAACGATCGGACAGTAGTTCTTGAGCTTTAGGAACAAAAACGTCACATAAGACAGAATAATGCGGAGGATGAGAGAGCACAACAACTTTTTGCTGCTCCTGATAGTGATGCACAAAAGATGTCTTGTGTGATGTCATATTGTCATGCATCAATCATGACATTGTTTAAGATGTTGTTATATTATAACATTTCGTGAATTTTCGAGGAATTTAGTTAAGTAAGTTCGCATTTTCAAATTTTCCGTTCACAACATTATCAACTGAGCCTGTCCAGTTGTGAAGAATTTAGTTTACATAACCTTCATAAGACTTCACAGGTAAATATGGTCCACATGTTTGCTGTATGTTTGGTGCCCCATATGTTTTCCATATGTAAAACATATGTGTTTCGTGTGTTTTGAAAAACATGTGTTTAAGAAATATTTTTTTCATATGTAAGATTAACATATGTAAACAGGACCATATGAAATACATGTGTCAACAAACATATGTTATCACATGTTTTTCATATGAATAAGTTTTCATATGTTAAATATATTGGAACTTTCATGTGTTTTTCATATGAAAAAGGTATGATCATATATTTGGCATGATTTACACTTTGAAAAGTCTTAATAAGATTCTACATGATTGTACATAAATTCTTAAAAGATTCTTGGTTCATGCATCTATATACAACTTGTAAATGTAGTAAATCTATTGGAAAAAGTTGCCTTCACTTCCAATACTTCTTATCATGCTGAAAAAAAAATATAATAAAATACATTTATATAAAAGATGAAAATAAATAAATGATCAATATCTTTTTGGAGGGATAGCTGATTAAATTTGAAATTAACGGAAGTACTGTCAGGGGCAGAAACAGTTTATGGGTCGTAAAGTCAGGATGATGAAATGGTTAGGGGGAGAATAGTCTGCGATTCATTTTATTGATGATTTTTCCTCCCTTTGTATAGTTAGTGTTTATTTAGTGAAATTTTAACAATCCTGTTTGTTGAAACATTTAAGTGAAATTATATAAATGTATATAATTATGCTTATAAAACAATTTTCAAACATCGAAGCATATGTAAAATATGTACTGCAAATATTTGTGCATGTTATATGCATTCATTTCTTACTTAGACTTTTAAGAAAAGACTTTTAAGAAAATAAACTTTTTATTACCTCCTTTTATTTATACGAAATGTTAAATTCGGCAATATCTTTATAAATTATGCTCTTTGGAACTTACTTATTGATAAATCTTAATTTGAGCAACATGTTTATGATATAAAACTATTAAAATTTGTGTTACAGGATCTTTAAGATTTATCAATTTTGTAAGTTCCAAAAAGCATTATTGATAAAAATATTACCGAATTTTACATTTCAGGTAAATTAAGGGAGGTAATATTTTCTATAAAATCTAAGTGAAATTTTTCAATAAGAAATGAATGCATATATTTTAATGATTAATATAATATGTACACATATTTGTAGTGCTCAGCAACTATCAACGCATATTTTTAAAGATAACTTTGCTTCCGGCTCCTCTACTTGTACTCTTGTTTATAACGTACATTTTTGTATATTAATCTTGTATTTCCCAAGAAGGAATTTTATAGGCCTAACTTGTTGAACGGAACTCGAATTAGAATTTCTTAAACGAACGAATGTGTATACCATTCAATTTCAACACCATGTATTTATACATTTACCAAATATAACTATACTAAATGGCGAACCATTTTAATGGTGTACAATGAGCCTTTACACATCATTTTGTCATTGGTTCAAATTACAGTATCCACAGTATGGAAAGGTCATCCAAATTTTGCCCTTAGATAGACAGATCAAATTCGTGCTGCTTATAATATGTTTGATGATTTTTATAACTTTGGTTGCAAAATCATAGTTATTTGATTTAGATGAACATCGTGTTGAGTTCACAGTATCACCGTAGGGAACGTGTTACAGTATCGCGTTTTCAAATTACAGTATAGAATTTTTAAGATGGAAGATTATTTATGGGAAGAGAGGTAGATGATTTTTATTCAGGTCCATACTACAAGTAGTTTAGTTTCTTAAAGATGTTTTTGTACTTTGCTTGTAAGGAACAGGATCCGGTATCTAGTCATATATTTCTTCAGATTTGAATCGAGAGACCAACACATTTTTCTCCTATTCCGACACTATTTAAGCATGTCTAGATAAAGTAAATCTGCAACACGTTAGTCCTTTGTGCTTAGAAACGTTTATAAAAGTAAATGACCAGTTGAACCTATTTTCCTGTTCGATAAATGCGTTTGAAAAAATAAACAATGTTACAGTATAGAGCGAGGTGAGTTTTACAGGGTTACATCATAGACCTAGCGACTTTGATCCAATTTTGTCACAGTTTATACCCAAAATTCAGTTACAGTTAAGATACTTGCCAAATTTCAAACAAAGTTCGTGTATCCATTATTTTTATGAAATAACTCACACCTTTCTATTTAATACATTCTTGAAAGATTGTATTACTTTTTTCCTTAAAAAGAAGTTCAACACGGAAAAATGAAAATGTTGCAGGCTCAATTTAATCGAACCTGTTCATGGACGGTAGTGGTAACTGCAAGCTACCGCCCACACCTCCTAGCACCGGCTTCAGCAGAATTCACATTTGGTAATAGATTTTTTAACATCTGTGGGTGTGTTCATATGGCGGTTATCATGGAACCTTCAATGTGACACATTATTGCAATTCCATGAAAAGCGGCATGTTACCCTCATGTTCAATATTGCGTGTGCCTTAAAGGAGAATACAATGAGTGAAACTAAATAAAATGAAATTTTGAGAGGGGATCGGAGGTTTTGAAGCCTGCATACCACAGATAAGCTGTCTAAAGACACAATTTAAAGCAGGCAAGTGTGATTAAACAGTATTTAGGTGAGAAATACTGCAACCTTAAATTTTAGCTTAAGTTGGAATTTCCATCTACCATAATGTATTTTGTAAGTATTTAAAAGGGTTTGTTATGTTTGGCTTTCTTGGATTTTAAGTGTCAACGACACTGAGGTCATGTGAAAACATTCTGCTTTAGTGTAAAGATATACCACAGATACCCTTTGTGAAACATTTCAGACACGAGCGGGCACTTGACCAGAACCACTGACCTTCCGTAAATAAGCTTGATAGATTCCTTACATTCAAAGAATCCAAAGCCATGATGGGATTTCATCCACATCAGTAAAAGAAAGATGATTTGAAGTCAACGGCCTTATCCCACTCTGCCACTATTATGTACCTCCATCAGGCTCACTGGAGAATATATTGTAATTGTCCGACCATAATTTATACTCAACAATTGTATAACTTTCAAAATTTGTTTATTTTTCAGTAACACGAAAACTTCTATACAGGATGTCTAAAATGAGTAAAAAACGACTTTTAATTTAGTAATAACAAAATAATCTCAGCTGCAACAAAGAAGCATTCGAAATGACGCCATGATCATCATTTGATTTGAATGCTTTTGGCTCGAGATAAGAAGGTTCTTTAAACTTTGCCTTTTTTTCTTATCTATATTTTGGGTTTCGTATACAAAAATAAAACCCAACAAATTTGGAAAAATCTGCACTATACAGAGAAAGACACAATTATGATGAAAGAGCTAAAAATTAATTGCCAATAAGAAATTATTAAACACTGACAAGTGTATTCATACCTGCAACAATAAAGCAGGTAATTGAAGATGTCAGCTGTTGAGATA